AAATGCAGCCTGAGTTGAAAAAGCAGTCTAATTGGCTTCTTTTTCTGGAAGTTTTACATTTTCAAAGGGTGAACTTGAACTCCCATGGGCCTGAAGCCTTATGTTTGTAACACATTTTACTTACATTGGTATTACCTGTTGAGCATAATTAAAATTTGATGTTGAATTTGCAGTTTAACATAATGTACTTTTGCATCAGAATTGACAGTAGCCTGTTTTGTTATTTCCTGCTTTTTGTCTGTACATTTGACAGCTTTGCTGCCTTGTTTGGTTATTTACTGAATATTACCATATTGTAATGTAATTTAACACAGGGCTGTCTTTCATTCTGGTTTTTTTGGGCATCCACTTTCAGCAGATCTATTATTTTACTATTTCCTTTAAGATTTTCTGTGATGTCACTTTGTTAAAATGTTAAAATTCAAAGGGCTCTTTTTTATGGTTTTGAAATGAAGACTTTTTATGTTTCTTATATACATATACATATTTCCCTTCATGATGCATGATATGGCAGCATCAATTTTTGTGTCATTGTATAATGTCTATTTCCTTCATTACTCAGGAAAAGTTGCCAGGAACATGTATTTTCGCTGCCTAGCACTAGAAGAGCCCCGAGTGCGTGTTCTCAACTATGCCCCGGGGCCTCTGGACACAGACATGCAGGCAAAGATTAGGGAAGAGTGCGGAGATGCAGAGATGAAGAAAACCTTCATTGGTGTGTGTCTGATGTTTAATGTACACATAACAGCTGAAGCTTGTTTAAAAGCCCAGATTTACTGACTATCACAACCTAAAGTGAACACAGCCATGTAATGTACACTGTGGTCTAAACATAGATTAATTTTGTTATTAGATTAATCAGTTTGTTCATGATAAAAATGAATTTGATTAATTTTGTTATTAGATTAATCAGTTTGTTCATGATAAAAATGAATTTCTATTATTTTTTGGAGAGAAATTTACTAATAAAGAGAAGATCAAGGACCCTTTCATTTGAAAACTAATTAATAGATTTGACTGGATCTGTTAACTTTTTTTTTCAGAAATGCATCGTGATGGCAAACTTGTGGATCCTGCAGCTTCAGTGAAAGTTTTAATGAGGCTGCTGAAGTTTGATTCATATGAGTCTGGAATTCATATTGATTACTTTGATGAAGCATAGAAGATTTAGCTGATTTTTATATGCTAGTATAAACTGCAGTAGGGAGTGTGTTAGGTGAGAATAAACTGCGGTGTGAACTGTGTATTGTGGTAGGTGTGAATTAGGTGAGAATATTGTGTTACTGCTGGTGTGAACTAGGTGTAAACTGTGAACTGTGTATTGTGGTAGGTGTGAATTAGGTGAGAACATTGTGTTAGGTGAGACTTGCCCATTGTGCAGGGTAAGAATATCCTCATAAGTTTGATTATGTAAGTAAAGATGGTTGACTTGGATTTAATCCATTATACAAATTACTTACTGTGTTTAACCATTTTTGGCATTTCTTACTTACTCATTTCATGAGAGTTACTGTTGGTGAATTTCTTAGGACAAACAGTTTCTTGTACTTAAACAATGCAACAAACGCACAATGTAAGAATTATGCATTATGCAATATTAATTAAGCATAGTCAAATAAGCCTATAAGATCAGCATTTTACTTTACAAAATACTTATAATTATACATACAGTGTACTTATTATTACATGTATTATACTGAGTAACATATTTTACATTATAATAAAGCAATGTTTAAGCAGCAGTATGTTAATTTTTAAACAAATGCTGTAACAGTATGTATAAAAAAAAACTTAGCTGTAAGTTTGTGTCAAAGTTTTATATCTTGTAAATGTTGTGTTGTGTATAGTTGAACACCGCCATCTTGTACAGCTGTACATTGTGCAATCATAAATGCTGAAAAATTAAAATTCTGCTTGTGTACATTAGTTCTTTTTATTTTTCTCATTCAGTTTAAAGTTTTAATTGCAAAAATCATGTTTTCGTGTGTTTATTATAATCAAACACATATTCTATCATTGCATTAGATAATATAGTCAAGACCAAAACGGTCTCTTTAAGTGATTTTTTTAACCTACGCGTGCGTCAGGCAGACTGACTACTAAGCCACGCCTTCGTTGTCAAGGATTTTTGTCATGATGGGGCGAAGCAAGATTAATTAGTTATAAGCCCATTCACTGTGCCTTACCAGGCAAGTCTTATGGCAGCAATGTAGTGAAGAAATGACACCACGTGGAGGTTTAAAACTTGTGTCAAAAATACATTTTCTCAAAAAAGTAGGAAAATTGCAGGCAGTCCACCCCCACAATGTTTCTTTTTCTTGAGTCCACAAGGCGAGACGAGACCCCTCAGCCTCATTAACTCAAGCTAATAACACAGATATCTAGACACCAATTAATCATAATCTAGATGAGTACGTAGTATAGAAACAATCCTTTATTCCGCTACAACGATTATCATTTTTTAAGTGTTTTCAAGCAATACGCGACTTTTCCGCCGGCGCTACTTTCATTAATCTCCCATAACATTTAATTGACAAATCTAAGTACTCGTTGAAAAATACTGAGAAGGATATGATTATCAATTTTCAATCATAAACAGGGTGGAAAACAATCAGTGACGCGGTCGTCAGGGGAGAGTTGATCTTAGCGACCTTGGCAAAATATTTTATTTGTAAGTTACCGCCTTTTGAAGTGAACAGTTCATTGTTATATAATACAGTTGTTTAACGTAAAAGCTGATAAAATGCGATGGAAGTCATTAAAGAGAATTTCGTGGAATCATGTTGACAGCTGTCTTGATGCTAAAAAAGATCCTAAAACAAAAAAAAAAATGGTATTTTCTCCCCCAAATAGCTCTATTAAAGCGTCAGCCGATGCACACTGCACAAAATTTTTATATTTAAAGGGCTTTTGCGAAGTTTGCCTTGTTTTCTATGATTTCATCCTTTTCCCTGTTACACCCTGAAGTTTCACATTATTGGTAAACTTTATATTTCCTTGGTTGGAAATTTACGCATCTGCATTTGATTGTAGGCACTGGCGGTGCACATGGTTTTAGGGTGTATTCCCAGAGATTTAGATCAATCTAGAGATTAAGATTTAGATCGACCTAACTCCATGGGGGTTCACGCAGTCAGCCGAGTGCGCACCACAATTAATTACCCCCTTACAGCTTTCAGTAGGTGGGACAGACGTTTAAGCTGGCCAAGCAGACAGTAATCTAGTGAGACTCCCAACAGGGATAGATTGATCTAAAATCTATAGAAATGGGGCCTTAGTCCCGTCCGATCCGTTCCGCCGGCGAATTTACTTTTTTTCTTTTTATAAAATATGGACTACTCATAATTTGAAAATATTTTTCTTCTCGTGGTTAATTAAATATATAATAGAATACACATCATAATAAAACAGATATTTGAAAATTAAAACATGACACAGAACATTAAACAAAGCCGAAATGCGGTTTAACCATAGATTATAATTATCACTTCTTCAATCACATTATAAATTAACATTAATATGAAATGGTTTCTTTCGTGGTCCCCTATTCATGATAAAAACAATAGATTGTTGTAGAAGCTAAAATATAATCTCTTCAGTCAAATATGCTGCCAGCAACAATATTTCCAATTCTCATCACAGAATAATATCACAGTGACAGTGGAGCAGATTAACAACTGCAATTCATAACAAATTTAAAAAATATATATATATAAGTATATGAATAAGTTGCCAATTATACAAGGGGGGGGGGGCATTACAAAACATCAAATTCGGTGGCAAAGCCTAGAAAACTGAATAGCACTTGACCATCTCTCAAATATTAAATATTTACTTTATCATAAATATGTGGTTAGGGTAGAAAAAGGCATGCCCCCCACCATAATGTGACAAATCTTGATTGTACCTTAAATGGATAAAATTAATAGGGACGGTGGTCGATCTACCTGACATTTAGAATAGGGTCAGTGAGTGCCGACATCTACTCACATCAGTCTGAACAAGGCTATGTCCAGGTTGGCCGCAAGCAGTCGTTAGGAAGACTATTTCATCCTTGTGCTTAATTATTATCATCCAATTACCAAGCCAATCAGAACACATTTTGCTCAATTACCGGTATAGGATAAAAATGGTATAAGATGCTTATTTTCTTGGTGCAAGTTTTTTCAACAATATACTAGTGCGATCAGTCCTTTCATAAATAATATATGAACAGATAAAACCCTTATTTTTTTAAGCACGTCAAAGTCCTTTTGACTATAGAAAGACCAAAGAGTAAACACTTTGTTTCGTTTAATTTTTCATCTGTCGTCACGACTCTCTGTGCAGAAGAGACACTGTAGAGTAGGGCCTATGCTGAAAATCTTCATTGGAGATAATTGGAGACCACTTCCCGTTCAAGTCCAAGAATCTCTTGCCTCAGGAAGCTTTTATAGAGCTAAACTGAATGACCTGCTTATCTGATATTTAAGGTTTTCAACTGTCACATTTTAATAAAAGTTTTGAGCTTTGATTTGCAAATGGAACATTTACATGTAGCACCATGTGTCATTTTGACAGCCCCACACTAAGTAAACGCCGTCTCCCTCACAACTCCGTACACTCCACAGACAGTCCAGGACTGGCGATTCCAAACTCTGTCACCACAGCTAGGTACGGTGATACTTGGCGAAGGGCTCGCAGAAAATCTTCAAACGCGACGCGACGCAGTCCCTCTGGTTGAGTGTCCAAGTAGGACAAGACACACGACAGTATAACAGCCATTTTATACTTAGGATTGGTGATGAAAATAATGTTATAGCGCTGTTCTTCCGTCAAGATATAATATCCATGAAGCAGATTAGCAAATGTCTGGATCTTGTTCAAATCAGTGAGACTGGTTTTCAGAATGTTGAACATGAGAAGGATCCGCCGTCGTTCTGGGGAGTTGGTGTTTACTACTGGTTTAGCCATTCTCAGCCTTTGGGTATACTATTGTTGGATAATTTCTACAAAATAAATAAAGTGAATAAATGAAAAGTAATTATAAAAACGTAGAAGATAATACGCGTTATAGAGATGGAGTCGTTATCTTACATTGAGTCGTTATCTTACATCAGGTTTAATTACCTGTCACGTAAACTTGGGGACCTTCCTTTATTAAACTGTAGCAAAAAAAGGCATTTTGCATAATTTCAGATTTGACCAATTATTTATGGGGTTTACGTAAGATACTAGAACCATGATGTAAAGATCGATAGATGTATGCATCATATTTTCCAATCAGTTCCGTTTTCCATGTCAAAATAAACGATGGCTGCCCATAAATACATAAAAACATAAATTATAACTAGAGGAAGGAAGTATAAAGGATGTGTACAGGGCATCAAACCTAATTTAAACATTCGCAGAAGTGTTTAAAGGACCGGTCATTATTTAAGTCGCAGGTGGGGGTGGGGGTGGGGGTGGAGGAAAAAATGTCTGTGACCCCCCCCCCCCCCCCCCCACAAAAAAAAAAAACCACCCCCACACACNCATGGGGCTGATGAAAACTTTTATCAAAAATACATTTCATCAAGAAAGTAAGGAAGTTGTACACAGTCCATCCCTCAGTTTTCTTTCTTGAGTCCACGAGACGAGACTCCTCAGCCACATTATCTCAGCATATAGATATCTAGACACGAATTAATCATTTTCTAGCAGAGTAAGTAGCTAAGAAAAGTTATCCTTTATTCCTTCACAGCGATTAATATTCTTGTAATTTAAGTTTTTTCAAGCGGTATGCGACTTTTCCGCCGGCGCTATGATTATTAATCTCCAGAAAAACAGTCAACAGTCACATTTATTTGATAAATTTACGTACTGGTTGGAAAATACTGAGAAGCATCTGATTATGAATTATAAATCATAAACAGGGTGGAAAGCAATCAGTGATACGGTCGTCAGGGGAGAGTTAATCTTAGCGACCTTAGCGAAATGTTTTATTTGTAAGTTACCGCCTTTTGAAGTGAGCAGTTCATTCTTATATAATGGATTGTTTATTGTAAAAGCTGATAAAACATTTCTCTTTTCATAATTAAACATATAAAAGAATTAACATCGTAATAAACATATTTATTTGGCATTATCTAATATTTCATTGCACTTTATAATTGTAACATGAAAATCTTAAGAATGAAAACACTAAAAGACAGACGCTTTAAAATAAAAAAAACACATTAATCATAAAAACTTTTAAAAGATGAGATTTAAGAGTAACTTTAAAACTGACATAATGACTTTCAGATCTTATATAAAAAGCCATTCATTCCACAATAGTGGGACATAAACAATTAAAACCCTTTCTCCATAACATTTGTCCTGCCGCTCTTTTCCACAGTGGCTAAGTGTAAAATTGTTTAAAAAAATTCTAACTTGCCTTTGTGGTTCAAATCGATGAAGACGTTCGGCACAGTAACCATTTTACACAGTAATATCTCTTCCATTCACATCATAAATTTACTTTGAATTAAAATAGTTTCTATTATGGAAAGATGTAAAACAGCAATGGTCCCCTATTCATGATAAGAAAATACTTATCGTACAAGCTAAAATGGAATGTTTTCGGTCAAATGTGTTTACAATTCTTATCACAGATAAATATAGTGACAGTGTTATATTTATATAAAACTTCAGCTACAATACAAATTAGAAAAAATAGTANACCTCAATTTCAGCAGCAGCGCCTTAAAACCCTGATTACAGCATAATCATGTGCATAGTTTTCAAATGTAAAAAAATATATCCCTAAATTTCTTGCCCCCTCCCATCCGCCACCCCACCACACAACACTTTAGTCCTTGAGAAAATGAAAACCTGGAACATACTTTACAAGGAATGGAATGGTATAAAATCATAGTCGCTACTAAGCCACGAAATCATTATCGCTATTATAAGC